AGCTTCAACTACCTCAAGAGGTTCAGACAGTCATATTATGGGTGTGTGCGAGCTGACACACCTTTGGGGAACTTCCTCCTGTTTTTTTCTCGTTTGCTTTATTGGAGGAAAGTAATCAGAGGAGCAAGAAGCCGCCATTTCGGTAAATGTTAAGATGATTCTGAGGTTAGACTGAATCCACACAACACAGTCGCACAGAAATACATGCAATGGACACAACCTCTTAACATGGGCATGAAATGTGCTGAAATGACATGCTGCCAACACAAAACTAACACCAGTGCAAACTCTATTATGAATGGTTGCAGTTTGGTTCAGGTTTAGGGAAAGAAAAACACTTGGTTAGATTTAGAGAACTGAAAAAATAAAGATATATATACTTGGTTAAGTTTACGTAAAGATTGGGGTTTTGGTTAAAAGAACTCCCGTAGGTAATATAAATGTACATACTTTGCGTAGGGACATGAACAGCGAGCTCCACGTTGAAAATCCAATGTTTGCTTGACCACTCCTACCTGCCTTACACAGACTTTCTCTCTCTTTATACTTATATATCCACCATGACAAAAGATCCTCAAGGACTTTGCATTGGCAGTTTTTGTGTCGGCAGCATGTAATTTCGACACATTTTTTGCCCACCAAGTAATGGCTGCAGGGATTTGCTCCCATTCAAGAGCATTACTGGGACACTTATGTTGGATAATAAGGCCTGGCTCACAGTTAGTGCTCCAGTTCATGCCTAAGGTGTTTTCGTGTTATGATTTCTATCAGTTTGAACCAAAAGGCCTGGCTTAACGGGAACTACAGCCATTTTTAGAATTCATACCTTTTATTTCTATGGTCTAAGACAGTCAAAAATAGCAGTAAACATGGACAACCCTCTCCCAAATCCAAGAAACTAGAGTGCTAAAACTCATATTTGTGTTGTCATGGGGTGTTGAGTCTGGAGACAATAAAAGCCAGGGGAATTTCTCAGAGTATATGGGTACATCTTCTGTTTCAGAACTGAGAATACTACAATAGAAAAGTAGAAAAAGAGAAACAAACATTCAGCTCCAGACTTTATACCCAGTGACATCACAAGTTTGACACTTCCTTCTCTGGTTTCTGGCTTTCGGAGAGAGTAGCTCATGATGACAATTACTGATTGAACTTTCCTCAGCCGTGGAAATAACATATCAGAATTCTTAATTTAGGTGGTGTTCCCCTTTAAATTCATAAAAATACCAACAAAAAGTATGCATTTGCACTTGTGTATCCACATACTGCATAAATATAGTGCAGCAAAGACAGGATTCGTAGTACCTGTCATGCAAGTGTTGATTACACACCTCCGTGTGTCCTTTGCAGCTTCATCTCTCACATCCTTCTCACTGTTGCCGACACACAACTCCCACTCTTTCTGTCTGTCTCATAATTGTCATTCTCCTCTAGTTTTTTTCTTTCCCATTCTCTCGTCTGCACCCCCACACACTCCCTCCGCGCAGCACCCCAGAGACAATCACAGCAAGCGAGACAAGAATAGCCGGCCATCCATCCATCCATTAAACCACTCTTGGCCTTTGGTTGGGAGGAGAGCCGAGGCAATAACAATTAAGATTGAAGCCTTTGGTTTGTTTTCCTCTCAGACCGGATGTTTGGCGGCTCGCAGCTTAACTGGTAGCAGAAGAGAGGAATTTGTATGTACACACACTAGCGCAAGATAAAAGTGGTTGTTACAGCCAGAGAGGCTGCTTGATTGTGGGATGCAGTTTAGTCTTACCGTCGTGTTGTGTTTATAGTAGCCTTAGACGTCATTCCTGGATGATGATAGACTATTCTTTTTCCCGTCTCCTTTATTTTCTCATCCCAAACACCTCTGCCTGCACGTCTCAATCTGCAGTCCTACCCTATCACTACAAATGGCTGACAAATCATTGCACACTCACACATTGCACACAGGTTAGAGAAAAGGTGTTACATTTGTAGATTTACAACACTAGAAACAGTTAATCCTCCCACAATGCTGCAGAGCACACGTTGCAGAAATCGAGTCTGTTTGTGTTTTCTATATTCCAGCTCTTTTTGTGTGTTGCGTGTCATTGTGTGATGCTGACTATATATGCCCTCGCTGCGTCCTTTTCGCTGCATTCTTCTGGCCAAGCCAAGGCCAGTGGTGTTTTTTCTTTTCTGCAAAATGGTATAATTTGGCTGCTATTTTTATTGCAGAGAGCAGACTGCAGGGGCCAGTTATTCATGCTTCCAGGCCAGGTCCACTTCATGCACAGGCTCTTTGTTTGACTGATTTTAATGTCCCTCAGTAATGCTTTTTAATTCCTTTGAATGCAGCAGAAAAAGAAACACACACCCTACAGTTGCAGTGGATTGCATAAGCAACTTTAAAGCGCAATGGTCACAGACTGAAAATGGATCATTTTCTCACGCACTGTGCTCGGGACTCAAGTGTTGACATTGCATTGACAAGCATGTGTTGTCAATTCATCACCCACACGCTGCGATGCTTGCACCCTGACCACATTCTTCTTTGTGGAGTGTTTGTGTTAAGGTTCTACTCTTGTAAATTTAAAGGATCAGTATCAGTTTAGAGAACTTTTTTCTTCATGACGTGTGGAATGTGAAGCATTTCCCCGACATTAGAAAGTCCCTGAAACCCCCTCGCAAGTTCTATTATTGCAGTCTCTCCCTTTTAAGCCACTCTTGTGAACAGTCAGTGCTACTGGAAATATCCCAGGACATTGGGTGAAACAGGCAGGGCAAAGACCAAGCAACTGTTTGAACGCTGTCCCAGTTAAAGAACTGAATTGAGACAAGTAAGTAACACACAAAGAGAACTAAAGATGCTTTGAGATTCAAGTTCAAGTTGCTTTTTAAGTGGCGTACACACTATCCAAAATTTGACCCTAAGACATCTGGTAGAAAAAATGAAGTGCATCATTTTCTTTTCTTGCTCCATCATGTTGTCAGCCTCTCTCTGAACCATCACTCCTTTTTGTTGTTGCATTATCCTCCCCCTTTTTTCTCCCCTCCACACCTTCTTCTCATCCACCTCGCTCCTGGTAATGCTAAAAGCCAAAATTTACTCTCCTCTTGCTTCCAAAGAAAATGTGATCATGTTGCGACAGGATCCCTAAACTTCCCTGGAAAGTCGATTTGCACGCTAAACATTGGCATCAAGGCTCCCCAGACTTCTGGAGGATTATGGAGTCGGGGATCAGAGAAGGGAATTAACACGACAAGGTTAGAGATTATAGGGTTTTAGGTCACCCCAGGGTCCAGTGTCGGACTGGGCTTTACTTCACAGGATTAGCCTCAGGTTAAGAGTAATAATTTCCTGCTGTAAGGATCAATTGGCCTGGTAATAATTTGTTTTTCTAGGAATTAGATTCTAGGTTGAGTGGAAGGGGGTGGTGGCTGCATGGAGGTGTTCGGTCAGTGCAGGCCGGATAAAGCAAGCAAACATGGACTCGTTGGTGACCTCAATCAGAAGCGTGTGCAAGCACAGCTATGACATCATGGAGTGTTTCGTGACATGCATAGACGCTCAAACACATGTGCAGACGCTCATGCACTCGCAGACCCAGTTTTCCCTCTAAATGAATGGTGGCTTTGTTTTAGCTTCTCGGTTGCAGGAATAAAGTTTTCCACCGCTGAGGTGATGTCCTCAACACCATCCGATTGGTCAGTGAGGAGTGACTTACTCTCTTGGGAATGGGCTCGGTGTGCAGGAAGCAGACAGTGTCATTTTGTCGGTGTGGTTTAAGTGACTCTTATTCCCAGAGTAGACTCCTGGCAAGTTTCCCCGGGGGGAATGAGTCCATTTCTCCCCACCAGCCTCCAGCTCCTGGTATGCCTGCTAGGTGTGGTATAAACAGTAGGGCTTTATAATTAAGGATAAGCAGACCATTTCATAATATTTCAATGTCCATTTATCACTGACTATTATCCTTAGGTATGAATTTGAAGCCCTGATAAACAAGAAGGAGCTCCTAACCTGTTAGGAGGCCCAAACGTTTGCTTCACACACACTTACACACACACACACACACACACACACACCACTTCCTACTCTCTGAGCTCTGTCGCCCACATGTTCCTATTTAGTACAACACACACAGCAGACTATACATGGCAGCATCATTATTTGCCCTGAAACTAACAAGCACTTCTATGCTGGGATAATATGACTTGGTGCCACGTTTTCTGAGCATCTGCCAGTTTGTGGACATTTGGATTAAAGATGGCGTTTGGGGCCCCAGGGGCTCTGGGGCCTCAGGGCAGTTCCCTGCTTTGTCTGAATGGTTGTCCAGCCTTGCTCAGTTACTTTTCTTTTTTGTTTCATTTTACAGCATGCCAGACATTTAGATGCCCTGTGCATATTCCTGTCTACTCTCAGGAATATAAACAGGTCGAGCAAAATATTAGAAACACCTTTCAGCCTCTAAAATAAAGTGGGTATAAAGCTGAATGAACACCTTCAACAAAAACCATCTTGCCATGGGATCACTCTAATCTCTATACAGCAATCCGCGACTTAAAATGAACGTAGGCCAGGGGGCGTAAAGTGGGGGGTCCACTGCCCTTTCTCTGCTTCAACCCCCTCGACCTCCAGCAACTCAGTCTTCATTTTGGTCTCAACACACACCTGTAAGGTTAATCTTGCACAGTTGTGATGCTAATAAGGTGACAAAGTCTGCCCACAGACAGACAGTATGAAATATAAACACCTGGCAAAGTACTCAAAACTGCTTCTGTGGTAGTTCCTGCTATAACTGGTGTCACCAGGACAACGTTTTGTCATGAGGACACACACACAGACTCCCAAGGTGAAAGCGATACCAGCCGTCATGACATTGTCATGGCAGGTAACTTCATTAATTAGGGCTGTCATATGAGGCTGCATCAGTTTCAGCTTGTTGTGCCTAATAAACTGGCTACATTCATGCACAACAAAACTGACGCTGCTCTCCCTCCTTGTGTTCCCACAGGTGTGTAAGTTCAAGATGTTGCCACACTGCTCCATCCTGCTGCTGCTCTGCGTGGCTCGGCTGCTCTCCGCCTCTTCTGCCCTGCCCTTTGAGCAGAGAGGCTTCTGGGATTTCGCCATGGACAGCATGGACAGCGGCGGGATGATGACGATGATGAGGGATGAGGAAGAAGGCTCGGCCGTCGAGGAGATCCCCCCCCCTGACATACCCATGTGCCCCTTCGGCTGCCACTGTCAGCGCAGGGTCGTCCAGTGCTCTGACCTCGGTCAGTGAGAGTGTGTGTGAGAGCAGTGCTTTGTCATCATTTCTAAGTTTATGTCTGTGTGTGTCAAGAGGTTCAGACAGGAAAGCAAATGAGCTGAACAACAGTGTGAGTGAGCATGACCCGAGTGTTGCATGACTTTCATCTCTTCAGGGAGTAAAGTCCCTCTTTGGTGTGTTATCTAAGGCAGGAATTTCTTCCTCGGGATAATGCTGGTGTATTTTGACAAGGACAGGCGTGCCTTTGAGGGATTTTGTGTTCCAGACTAGTTGGTGGGAGAGCAGGAGGGAGATGGTTTGAGCAGGAAGGAGGAAAAGACTGGATGAGGAAGAGGAGAAAAGAAGAGAGACAGAAAGGGATACAGAGAAGGAGACAGGAAGGACAGTAGTAGACAAAAAATTGGACACTTTAGAAGAGACGAAAAGTTTCCCTCACTGTCTTTAAGGAGCTTTTTATGGTGTTTTTGGTTGTGGAGAGGATGTTTAATGGAAACCTAAAACTGGATTTGGAGATGATAAAGGGGTTGAATGATGGAGAGGATTAAAAGGAAAGGATGATAGAGAGATAGAAGTTGTAATTAAGTGTTCTTGAATATTCACAACCATTAGTTGCACCAAAAAACACATACAGCTAATTTGCTGGTGACAAGGATACAAAGACATTCACCTCCTTCTTGACAAATCAACATCAAAATATAATTTCTATGATGCTTTTACAGTCTGTGACTCAATTTTAGTCATGTTTCCATAAAGGCATACACTACAATTTCCTGTACTTTGGATATTATAAGTGCACACTATTCTTCCTCCGTCTATTCTTACAGGACCAAATAAACTCCCCTCAGTCTTATTTATGGATATAAAGATTCCTCACATTATACTGGCTATATAACTCTAATAAGCTGTCTGTGTTTAGACGTAATGGTTTTGTCGAATCATCATTTTACAAGCTCTATATATTTACTGTCCCCGGTCTCTGTGCAGCGAGTAAATGTGGAAGCGTATAATTTCCGAGATGTCAAGTGCTTATTTAGAACAGATGTATTTTGGCGGTGGCGTCTGTCTCCTCTCAGTGTGCATCCCAGCATGATGTCGGGTATTTGTGTTAAGGGGCGCTGGGGATTAAGAGGGTGCTAGTTTTGTCAGTTTGTGGTGAAGGCTTTGAGATTTGTGGCAGATACGGGCAACGCGCTGTGGTTTGGGGTTTAGAGGGTTAAAAGGATTCAGTTAATCAGGGAGTGGGTGAAAGTGTTTTTTTTTCCAGGTTTGTTTATCGTGTCTGTTAGGTCTGATACAGGGAAAACAAATTTGAAGTTTTCAAGCTGGCAGGGTTGCACGAAGAAAGCTGCAGGTGTTGGCTGAAAGGTAAATATTTCCTACCACATGAAACCACCTGGTAACATCGTGCACCTTTGGAGTCAGGTCGCTCTCACAGCAGCTGTAATAACTTTATCACACTTGAGAAAATCATAGACTGAGTTTGGTTTATAATTTGAACACTATACCTAGGATTCAAACTTTGCTCTGTCATCTACAACTTTAATGAATTTATCTTTGCTCTCTGGAGGCAAAACCCTGCTTAATTTTCTTGGAAACACTATAAAGTTCCCTCAGCCACTGCCCCAGATCTCTCAGTACTGTGAGGACGTGGTTTGTACAGAATGTCAGAGCGAGCTGCTGAGGGTTTGATCCTGTGTGGTGACATGGAGGGTGTGGCGCACAGTAAGGCCAAAGCCATATATCTAAACTTAACTCTAGATGGACAGCTCTGGGTAGAGTCCTGTGGGACAGATGTGGTTGGTGGCAAACTGGATCCCAGTGGGACAGCTGGCGTCCTCTCTCACCAGCGGGTCTGGTTGCATCATGGTCGCCGTCCAGATGAGGTCGGCCCTAGTTGGGATTCGCTTAGCCGTGGCCTGTCTGCGCCACTGACCACATCTGATACGTTCGTCCACGTGTCCTCTGTGATGTGGTCTTGTTAATGATCACTGGTTGCTGTGTTTGTGCGTGTGCTGAGTCATTTTTCCAGGGAGATCCCTGAATGGAATAATGCAGGTGTATTTCTTAACGCTGTCCACTTTTTGTAACCCAATCTTGGCCTTTATGGTAAAAGATACTCACAAGAAACGCTAACCATAACAGCTCTTGGTGTTCGTGCTTGTCACTGATATGATTAAAGGTTCAGTGTGTAGGATTCCAAGGGACAGATTGGCAGACAAGGAATAGTATATAATCACCTGTAAATTAGAACTGTCGTGTTTTTGTTACCTTAGAATGAGCCATTTATATCTACACAGGGAGCGGGTCCTTGTCCATGGAGTCCGCCATGTTGCACCGCCATTTTTCTACAGTAGCCCAGATTGCACAATCAAAAACTGGCTCTAGATAGGGCCATTTGCATTTTCGGGTCAGCCACCGTAGTTAGCAGCCACTCTACGACAAGCTGCATAGAAGAAACACAGATTTTTTTTTGTCTTGAATCTGCTTTTTTCAGTGTTTTTACCAGTTTAAATCACCAGGGGTCTCATTTATAAAACAGTGCATAGGATCCATATTAGAAATGTACGTAGAAACAAAAGCCAAAAATGGCGTGCACCAATTTTTTTTTTTTTTTGACAATTTCTACAATCAGTTTTGCACTTCCCGTCTCCAAAATGTTTGTAAGCGTGGGTCAAAGTTTCTCCCATCAAGTCTGCTTTTACAGATCACAACTTTTGCGTGGGAAATGGTGTGCGCCATTTTCAGGCCTCATTTTGTGCGTACTTAATGTTTATAAATGAGATAATTTTACTCCCCCTAAAAACCTCCTGAATGTGTGGATCTTAAGTCATCAGGGAGAAAAGGTGAGCACACATTAGCAGGTGCTGTTGGAGAACATTAATTTGTTTTAACCACCTGGTACATTTGTTTCGGAGAGGAAGAGACCTCTACAGATAATTCAGCTCCTGGTAAAAACTTCCTGAACAATGAAAACTGAAGGAATTCTAACCAGGATTTCAGGCGTGGCACATGGGAGAAGTTTCAACGGGTTGCAATCTGCAATCCTCACCACTAGATGCCACTAAACCCTACACGCTCTTCCTTTAACTGCAAATTTTCTCTCAATTTCATGACTTCTTAGCAGGTGTTTCTGTCACAAAGAGGCCAAAGTTAAATCACTTGACACGGCGTCTCCGCCACTCACACATTAACTCACACTGTATGTATGTCTCTGTGTACATGTGTCAGGGTTGCGCCCGTCTCCCCTTTTATTTGATGTGTGATTTTCCTGATGGTATTTAAGTCACATCCTTTGTGACTTCTGTCAAATGGAAACCAGATGGAAAACATCTGGTATCCCCATCTGGCATGCCTTTGTAAGTGACAAACCAGTAACGTTAGTTATGTGCCACTTTGACGTCTCTGTTTGACCTCCATGGTTGTGTCTATGTCCACCTCTCATTAAAATAATAGGCGAGCAGGCCCAAAGTGCTCATTTGACATTGTGTGGGAGTGTGATTGGGTTCATGTTTAGGCCTGATGGAGGTTTTAAAACACACAGTGACTATTTATTTTCCAAGGTCTGTGTCTGACTAAGATATCCTAAGAGCTTGCCCATTGAAAACAAACTGGTTTTTAGCCATGGAAGCATTTAATGGAGTGTGATTCCCCTCTGTGTTTTTATTGGTCTCGTCTTCAGGTCTGACTGAGGTGCCAAAGAATATTCCTCCTGACACCAAGTTCCTGGACCTGCAGAACAACCGTATCACTGAGCTTAAAGAGAACGACTTCAAAGGCCTCACTAACTTATATGTAAGTCAGCTTTATGTGTAAGATATAATAAGACACACACACACACACACACACACACACACACACAGTCTGGTCACATTCATAATGTCCCACTCAGCATTAGATCAGCACCTCTCAAGGATGTGTAAACGACTCAGCTCAGCTTGGATTGGCGTCAGTAGTGCTAAATATCATTATGACCCTCCGTTTCCTCAAGAATTTAGAGGTTCATTTCCTTTCTTTTTCACCCTCCACCGCCCTTCGCTCTGAGAGCTTTAATTGTATTAAGTTGGAGCCTGAAGCCAAATGAGAGTATTCAAGCTCACATCCCTGCTTCTCTTTGCAGAAAGGCTTTGCTCACTCCTGACCCGCATTCAAGAGCGCCGACCAAGAGCAATATTAAGTCTGGCAGCGTAGGAAACTCCCGACATGACATTATACAATAACATCTCTATTAAGGTCTGTTTACCTCAGCCTCCATCCATCTCCATCTTTCAGCCAGCGCAGGTGGAAAGACAGTCTGCTGAGTGATAGACTGTTGTGAACTGCTGCTGGATCTGTTTTAATTCATTCAGTACAGACGGAGGATGCTAACACAAGCTCTTGTCCACTTTGTGTGTTATTATAGCAGTCTTACTTTTTATTTTCCGACTGTCTGGGTGCTAAAGTGGGTGTTTAATTTCACCTCTCCGTGTTTGTTTTTTTCAGGGTCTGTCTCTGAGGAATAACCTTATTTCCAAAGTCCACCCCAGAACATTCGTGCCTCTCAAGCACATGCAGAAGCTCTACTTCTCCAAGAATTTGCTGACCACTATCCCCAAGAACCTGCCCACCTCTCTGGTTGAGATGAGGATCCATGAGAACCGCATCAAGAAGGTGGCAGCTGGAGCCTTCACAGGACTGGTCAACATGAACTGCATAGGTCAGAAAATGCTGATGACATCAACAAATCTAGGCTATTCCCTGTGGTTCTCACCGCTGCCTCTGCCACTGTATAGATGATTAAAGAGACTATATTTTATTTCATGCCACAAATTTTCCCTTCATCCTGCAGAAATGGGAGCAAACCCCATCCACAACAGCGGCTTTGAGCCTGGAGCCTTCAAGGGACTGAAACTGAATTATCTGCGTATATCTGAGTCCAAACTGACTGGAGTGCCAAAAGGTAACAACTTAAATATATGGATAAAGTTCTAACATATTTACAGTAGATTCATCTTTAAAGAAAGGGTTCAGTAATTTGGGAAATATACTTATTCACTTATTGATACTACTCCCGTTACCCTGCACGGCAGCTGGATTCTTACAGTATCACAAGAACACATCAAAATCCGGCAGGATGACACAGTGGTTAGCATTGTCGCCTCACAGCAAGAGGGTTTCTGGTTCAAACCCTGGGGTGGGTTTGCATCACTTTGATCCAGTAACATTTTGACCGTCTCGAAGAACCGCACCATTAAATCACTTTATCCCCATTCAAGTTAGTGGAGCGCTAAACTGGAAGTAGCCAGCTCAGCCAGCGGAAGTCTCTAGTGTGCTTGCTCTGTGGGCCCAATGATGTGGAAGATCTGGGTAATTTTATGCCCGGGAAGTCAAACTTTTGGCTTGATGAGCCACTGGGAGAGTTTCACAGGAATGAACAGGACCCTGCCTCCAACGCTATGCCCAGTTCTCTGTATATATCCATGTCCTCTCCTGACTGGCTGTGTCTTTAGTAATAGATGGCGATAGACAGATGGTTCATCCAGTTACCTGCCAAGTAGTTTATGAAAGTGACAGTCCCAAACAAACCATCTGGTGCGTCAGATTACCACTCTCACATCTGTATGCTAAATATGAACTCAGCAGCCGATTAGCTTAGCACAAAGATTAGCCAAACCAAAAAAAATAATCCTCCTCCTCCGCCAGAACATCAAAGGCTCACTGATTAACATGTTCTATCTCTTTTGTTAATCTGAACAATTATGTCATCACTGGTTATCTGACAAGTACTGCTGCCTCCGCAAAATCACTGCCCCCCCGGGCAAGAAGTAGTCAGGCATGTAACGCCCTGCAAAACCACAAACTGACATTTTCACACTTTGATACAAACGGGATATAACATGTGAATTAGTGAGTTTCAGAGATTCTGGTAGTCAGATTTTTTTAATCATTTGGATTAAGCCAGGCTAGCCCTTTCCCCCCGATTCCAGTCTTTATGCTAAACTAGGCTAATCTGCTGCTGAGTGATTTACAGATATAAGAGTGGTATCAATCTTCTCATCTAACTCTGTGCAAAAATAAAGAAATCTTATCCTAAAGTGGAGCTTTACATGTGATGGTGTCTGTCTTTCAGATCTCCCAGAGAGTCTCCATGAACTTCATCTGGACCACAACCAGATCCAGGCTGTGGAACTGGAGGATCTGAAACGCTACAAAAACCTGTACAGGTATCTCTCACACTTCAACTTCATACTCATCTCTAACTATAACTGATTTCTTGCACCCTGTGGGATTTACTTGCATATCTGTGAAGAATTACCCTGTGGTTTAAAAAAAAAAAAAAATGTAATTCCCAGTCAGCAGTGCCCCTCAGGGGTAATAATACGAACTACAATGAGCTGACAGTATAACTGCTAGTTTATGCTTGTGTGGGCTTTCCCACCTATTTATGGTCACATGAGTATAGTGCCAGGCTGCTGCAGCCCTAATTCTCACCTGTTAAATATCCCTCTCTTGCAATGATACTTATCAGGGAATTTGCAGCTGCTCCAGCTCACATTAGTAAAACAGTTTAGTTTAATGTACCATGCAGTGACCTGTTTTCTGCCTATTTCACGTTTTTTCCCCCATCTCACTTTTTCCAGGTTGGGCCTTGGCTTTAACCACATCCGTAACATTGAGAACGGCAGTCTGGCCTTCCTCCCCAGGCTGAGAGAGCTGCATCTGGACAACAACCGCCTCACTCGTGTTCCTCAAGGCCTCCCAGATATGAAATACCTACAGGTGAGTCTAGGGTTCAAGAAACACCAAACCAGGATCAAAGAACTAGTGGTGAAGAAGGCGTCACGTTGTCTGTCTCTTGGTCAAAAAGTTGCACTTGAACAAACCACAAAGACTACAGCCAAAGGCCAACTAGCACGTACGTTCTGCAACTACGTAAGAGGAAATAACTCTCCACACTAGTAGGTGACGGTAGTCTGTATTTGTCATTCAAAAGGGAAAGGAGAGGACGCTAGTTAGCCAGTTAGCACATTAAGAACACAACCCAACAACAACTCTTTTTGCTAAAGAGCCCAGATGCTAACAGACAGCCCAATATTGACCAGCAGCCGTCCGTCGGCTTGGTGTGTCAGGGCCCTAACATGCACAGATTTAGTTTTCCATCTGTGCCTGAATGTATCACACGATGCTCTACTCATCTACTACTTTGCCACCTCTGCTTTTTAGGTGGTGTACCTCCATTCCAACCACATCGACCAGGTGGGCGTGGATGACTTCTGCCCTCGAGGATTTGGGATGAAGAGGACGTTCTATAACGGCATCAGCCTGTTTGCTAACCCTGTCAACTACTGGGAGGTGCAGCCTGCGACGTTCCGCTGTGTCAGCGACCGGCTGGCCATTCAGTTTGGCAACTACAAAAAGTAAAGACAGGGGGGAAGAGAGTGAGAGAGAGAGTGAGGGGAAGGTGATGGAGGAGGAGCAGATAATTTAAATAATAAAAAAAAAACTTGAGAGATGGAGGGGAATTCATATTTGAGATCATTATGTTTATTATTATTATTATTATTGTTTTTGAGAGCGAGGATGAGTGATGGAGAGGATGGGCAATAAACTTATGAAATAGAAAGAGAAGTGGAAAAATACAATCACATAACTTGAAGGGAGTGGGAAGCAAAGTACTTGCAGTACTTGAAATGGATGAAACAGAGGAGACTGTATGAGAAGAATGTTTTCCCCCGGCCGAAATCGATGAAAAATGAAAACTTGTGAAGCAGTTCATTCCGTATTTTTTACACAATAGTGCTTATTGTGATAGAAGTCTTTTTTTATTAACACTTTGGTTAAGAATACAAGTTAAAAAATAGAAAAGCAATGCAGTATAGATTTTTTATACATATATATATATACATAAAAAGGTGCTCTGTATGATTTTCTGTGTGTGTTGATTTGGGAGATGCATCACATTGTCCCTGTTTCACTGGTCTGAAGCCATCTGTCCCTCAACTCTGTGATTAAATTATACTGTATTAATAAATAACCAGTCACGGATTTGGGGGCTATTTTCCACCATTTACAGACATAAAAACAACTGCACAAAATATAGAAACTATTACTCAAGTTTACCAACTCAAAAACATTTTTGTACATATCAGTTGATTGATTAAAAGGGCAATTTTAAAATCCCCCTCATCAGTGCTAAATATCTTATTGATCTGAGGTACCTGAATCACCAGCCTGCCTGTGTAAGGAGTCTATTCTGTGCCTTTACTAAATATTATGCTGTCTGTATGATACTTTAATACAGTATTCCTTGAGGGGACACCGAAGTAGTGGGGGTTTGTCCCAGTTAGAGAAAACACACATCCGCTTTGCTTTGAGACAATGAAGGCAGTGTGTTCACATAGTGCTACAAACAATAGTAGTGTTGATGCATTGTTTTGCACAGTTTTTCTGTTATGCTTTATCTGCTTTGGGGGTAATTGGGGAGGGGTTAGCCTGTTTACATTGGTAGACCTATGTGGAACTTCTGTAGCCATTCTGTCCTGTCTCTGTTTTGTAATCTGACAAGCTACCGCTGCATGTGAATAAAGACATTTTTTAGCCTGCTGCATAAAGCCAGAGAACAACTGATGCCCCTGGGTTGGATGCTGTGTGAGAAATAAAGAGGAAATATCAAACATGGAAGATATTTGATGAATGAATCCAAAAATCCTGAGCTGTGACATTTGGGGTCCACACTTGACATGTACAACACAATCACATTACATGCATATCATGACAACAACTGAATCGTTGGATATTCATGGAATTCAACCCTAAAATGTGTGAAAGAGAGTTCGTGATATTTTAATACTGTGGACAGGTTGTCTTAAATTCAGATTATCTGCTTTAAATGATGCATTTGTCTTCAATTTGAATCCATATCTTAACTTCAATATGACAATCCATCATAAATTTAAAGGGAAAATAAAGTCTTAATGCTCATTTTCTCATTTAGGGCCAATATATTATCATGGGAACACACTTAAAGGTAAAGTTCATCCCCAAATCAAAAATACATATTTTTCCATTTGTCTGTAGTGCTTTTTATTGATCCAAATTGTTTTGGTGTAAGTTGCCAAGTTTTGGAGATATCGGCCGTAGAGATATGTGCTTTCTCTTGAATATAATGGAACAAGATGGCACTTGGCTTGTGGTGCTCAAAGTGCCAGATAGAGACATCTGAGCAACTCAACAGCAATGTCTCATTCCAGAAATCATGACAGCTACACAAGATAATCCACAAACCTTGTTGTGAGCAGTTTAATGCAGGAACTATTTTCTGTTTATTGCACTACACCTGTGCAGAAGGAAGCGTGCATCTACTATTAGCTCAACTAGCACCACTAAGCTAGCTAAAGTTACAGCTCAGCCGAGGAGGATGCCATTAATGTTTACATCTCATGCTGTCATGACATGAGCACAAGCCTCTCGTCCATGAGTAGATGCACGCTTCCTTCTGTGTGGTGACATGGTTGGCGGGTGTAGTTCAGTAAAAATAAAATAGTTCCTGCATGAAACTGTTTTTCAAATGTATTTTTTGGCGCCTTGAGCACCACAAGCCGAGTGCCATCTAGTTACATTATAGAGGAGAGATGGCAGACATCTCCACAGCTGATACCTCCAACACTTTGCAACTCACAGTAAAACAATCCAGATTGATAAACAGCACCACAGGTGAGAGGAAAAAAGATATATTTTGGATATGAAGGTGAACTGTCCCTACTTGTCTTCAACTCTAACAACATTCTTTTTTTTCGATTGATATAAAGGAATGAAAATGTAGCCTACTAAGTGTTTCATTAGATATGTTGGTGTGTTTTGTGTCAGACAAATGTCTTGACAGGTTCTTCTACAATTTCTTGTCACAATGTGAGATTCATTTATCTCTTGTGTGTGGCATTCAGCCCCACAATTTCATGCCCATTGTGTGGTGCAGAAAAAGAATATTAGACTTAAGGTGGATTACAATGTCCTAATATATACTGCAGACATTTTAAAACCATGTCTTCAACATTTTCACACTGTCAAAATGGTGTCAACCTAAACATGAAAACATGCAGATTAATGTAGAGTGGTATTGTAATAAGTCAAACTGCATATTTATAATCATAATCCTGATGAACATTAGGGCCTATGATTCAGTCGATGCTCTATTAATAAACTTGATAATTAAACTTTATAGCTTTGGGGAGATTTGATAGTTGGGGTTTAAATCTTGTGTAGATCTTTATGTATTTTTGCAGTCACTTTATGCTGTATATACAGTACAGGCCAAAAGTTTGGACACACCTTCTCATTCAATGCGTTTTCTTTATTTTCATGACTATTTACATTGTAGATTCTAACAGAAGGCATCAAAACTATGAATGAACACATGTGGAGTTATGTACTTAACAAAAAAAGGTGAAATAACTGAAAACATGTTTTATATTCTAGTTTCTTCAAAATAGCCACCCTTTGCTCTGATTACTGCTTTGCACACTCTTGGCATTCTCTCCATGAGCTTCAAGAGGTAGTCACCTGAAATGGTTTTCCAACAGTCTTGAAGGAGTTCCCAGAGGTGTTTAGCACTTGTTGGCCCCTTTGCCTTCACTCTGCGGTCCAGCTCACCCCAAACCATCTCGATTGGATTCAGGTCCGGTGACTGTGGAGGCCAGGTCATCTGCCGCAGCACTCCATCACTCTCCTTCTTGGTCAAATAGCCCTTACACAGCCTGGAGGTGTGTTTGGGGTCATTGTCCTGTTGAAAAATAAATGATCGTCCAACTAAACGCAAACCGGATGGGATGGCATGTCGCTGCAGGATGCTGTGGTAGCCATGCTGGTTCAGTGTGCCTTCAATTTTGAATAAATCCCCAACAGTGTCACCAGCAAAACACCCCCACACCATCACACCTCCTCCTCCATGCTTCACAGTGGGAAGCAGGCATGTGGAATCCATCCGTTCACCTTTTCTGCGTCTCACAAAGACACGGCGGTTGGAACCAAAGATCTCAAATTTGGACTCATCAGACCAAAGCACAGATTTCCACTGGTCTAATGTCCATTCCTAGTGTTTCTTGGCCCAAACAAATCTCTTCTGCTTGTTGCCTCTCCTTAGCAGTGGTTTCCTAGCAGCTATTTGACCATGAAGGCCTGATTCGCGCAGTCTCCTCTTAACAGTTGTTCTAGAGATGGGTCTGCTGCTAGAACTCTGTGTGGCATTCATCTGGTCTCTGATCTGAGCTGCTGTTAACTTGCGATTTCTGAGGCTGGTGACTCGGATGAACTTATCCTCAGAAGCAGAGGTGACTCTTGGTCTTCCTTTCCTGGGTCGGTCCTCATGTGTGCCAGTTTCGTTGTAGCGCTTGATGGTTTTTGCGACTCCACTTGGGGACACATTTAAAGTTTTTGCAATTTTCCGGACTGACTGACCTTCATTTCTTAAAGTAATGATGGCCACTCGTTTTTCTTTAGTTAGCTGATTGGTTCTTGCCATAATATGAATTTTAACAGTTGTCCAATAGGGCTGTCGGCTGTGTATTAACCTGACTTCTGCACAACACAACTGATGGTCCCAAACACATTGATAAAGCAAGAAATTCCACTAATTAACCCTGATAAGGCACACCTGTGAAGTGGAAACCATTTCAGGTGACTACCTCTTGAAGCTCATGGAGAGAATGCCAAGAGTGTGCAAAGCAGTAATCAGAGCAAAGGGTGGCTATTTAGAAGAAACTAGAATATAAAACATGTTTTCAGTTATTTCACCTTTTTTTGTTAAGTACATAACTCCACATGTGTTCATTCATAGTTTTGATGCCTTCAGTGAGAATCTACAATGTAAATAGTCATGAAAATAAAGAAAACGCATTGAATGAGAAGGTGTGTCCAAACTTTTGGCCTGTACTGTACATGCCACTTTATTAGGTACACCTGTACACAACTGCTGGTTGACACAAATAGCTAATCGGCAAGTCACATGGCAGCAACACAATGCATTTAGGCATGTAGACATGGTCAAGACAACCTGCTGAAGCTGAGACAGAGCATCAGAATGGGGAAGAAAAGGTAATTTCAGTGACTTTGAATGTGGCGTGGTTGCTGGTGTCAGATGGGCTGGTCTGAGTGTTTCAGAAACTGCTGATCTACTGGGATTTTCACTCACAACCATCTCTAGGGTTTACAGAGGATGGACCCAAAAAGAGAAAATATCCAGTGTTGATGCCAGAGGTCAGAGGAGAATGGCCAGACTGGTTCAAGATGATAGAAAGGCAACAGAAACTCTAATAACCACTGGTCACAACCAAGGTCTGCAGAAGACCATCTCTGAACCAACAACACGTCCAACCTTGAAGCAGATGGGCTACAGCAGCAGAAGACCGCACCAGGTGCCACTCCTGTCAGCTAACAACAGGAGACTGAGGCTACAGTTCACACAGGCTCAACAAAGTCGCCTGGTCTGATGAGTCTGGATTTCTGCTGCAACATTCACATGGTAGGGTCAGAATTTGGTGTAAACAACATGAAAGCATGGATCCATCCTGCCTTGTATCAACGGTTCAGGCTGCTGGTGGTGGTGTAATGGTGTGGGGGATATCTTCTTGGCACACTTTGGGCCCCTTAGTACCAACTGAGCATGGTTTAAGCACCACAGCCTACCTGAGTATTGTTGCTGACCGTGTCCATCCCTTTATGACCACAGTGTACCCATCTTCTGATGGCTACTTCCAGCAGGATAACGCACCATGTCACAAAGCTCAAATCATCATCATCATCAATCTATCTATCTATAAAAAATGGTCAAATATTTATGCATTTATCAATAAATCATCAGTGGCAAAACCATAATGCCATTTTCATTTTCAAATGTGCCGCTCGGCGCGTCACCGCGGTGCGCCCCTGCGCCCCTGCCCATCTGATTCAATGATACAATGATCCAGCCGTGCTTCGATGAGGCAGAGCGCACTTGCCTGTGTTGACACTGGACGGATATGCGGCGATGCTCTTGCGTGTGAAAGCGTTTGCAGCGGTCTCTAAGCGGCTACGGGAGAGATTTCGCCTCGGATGAGAGCTTAGGATGAGGAGCAAGTGCGACCAGCATCACAAAACAAAACGCTATCTCTTGGTCCGTCGCGTCTGCTCGGTGGCAGCGGCCCGTCGATTGTCAGAGGAAGCCGGGGGCTGGATTTGAAATGTCGCAGGGATGTGCTGGTGAGTCGGCTGGTGCTGCAGAGCGTGTGTGCAGCCCATAATGACACACAGGGAATTAAGTAGCAGCCTTTGTGACAGACAGGAGGAATCTTGCAGCCTGTGATCCTGTCGAATAAACGCTACTGACACATTTGGTCATGTAAATGCTGTGCATGATAGCCTGCATGGGGCCTGACGATGGATGCTGATAGGCTAATCAGCTGCTTTGAAGGCTATCTGGACTGATAACCATGGCGCTGTTTCTGCACTACAGTGATCTATTTTTAAATAGCAATGGATTCTTGTTTCCTGTCTCAGGGAAATTCAGCCTCGGCTCCAGTGGTGAAGCCACAAGGTTTTTTGCTGTAGCATGTAATTGATTGGACAAACAGGGAACTGTGATGTTGGATTAATTTGATCTGCAAGCATCAGCGTCTCCTCCATGTAAGCCCCATGGAAATGTCACTGCT